GCCCCCACCTGGCAGCTCCCCCACAAGGAGCTGGGCAGAGCCTCAGAAGTCCAAGGGCGTGAAGTCCCCAAAGTCACAGTCAAAGAGCTCGCTGATGCCCTCACCCTCCTCCAGGCCAAAGTGGTAGTCCTGCGCCTGTGGTGGCGACAGGTTGATGAACTCGTCCGCCAAGAAACCCGAAAAATCCTCCCTGCTCTGCTCCAGGAGGGCGTCCATGGAGGCCAGCGGCGAGAGGCTCACCTCCTCTGCCGGGCACTTGCTGGGCAGTGCACTCGTCTCCGGCAGCAGCGTCTCTGCAGGGATGGGAAGCAGCTGTAAATCCCACAATACTTGCCAAAACCCCCCAAAAAGCAGGTTTTGGCTATGCAGGAGAACCTGCCTTCCCCCCTCCCTGCCTTGCTGAGGTGCCCAAGCATCACCCCAGCTCCTTGCTTGTGCCGACAGCAGAGGGGCTCACAGCTGCAAATGCAGCAAGCCCCGCCCCCCCCGCCAGAGCCACTGTGCCATCACGCCAGCCCCCCTGTCCCCAGCCCCGGCTGCCCACCTTGCTCTCCGGGCAGCAGCGGCATGTTCACATCCTGGGTGGGATGCAGGAGCGGGGAGGCTCTGGGCTGCGAATGGCCAGGGGACGATTCCTCTGCGGGGGCTTTGAAGGGGCTCTTGACGGGGCTACAGACCCCCGAGCTGTCCTCGGGGCAGAGGAAGACATCAATGGGGCCCTGAGTGCTTCGCACAGAGACCTGGAAAGCCTGGGGAAAGGGGAGAGGAGTGAGACAAGGAGGCGCAAGGATGCCCAGGGAGCCTGGGCTGGGCTTTGCTGAGGGCTGTGGAGAAATGGGGAGCAGAGGGTGGCCCCAGCTCACCTCCGCTGGGTCCGAGACCTGCAACTGGGTCTCTGGGGGGGCTTTGATAACCATCACCATTTGCTCCGAGGGGTCCACAATGCTGCGGAGATCCTGGCAGGTCACGTAGGCTGCAGTGCGATGTGTCAAGGAGCAGACACAGGGATGCTTTCATGAGGCAGCGGGGCGGGCAGCGAACGCCCTGCCCTGCAACGTGGCTGGGCTCACCACGGGGCTCGACC